CGACGGGCTCCCACTCTGTCCCCCCTCCGATGGCCCCGATGCGTGGCCTCGCTCTCATCGTGGCCGTCGCTCGGATCCCTCTGACGCTCCGCTGTGGCTCCCTCCCTCGCCTCGAATCCAAGCATGCGGCTCTCTGGACGGTCCCGATTACGCCGCGTGAGTCGCCGTCGTCGTATTTTAAACGTCTATCCGTCGGCTCGCTGACTGCTGAGTGTTGCTATCTAACGAGTCCCGCCCTTTTTTTGTATCATTCATTCGTTCTTTCGTTCGGGGGTTGGATGAATCTGCAATCTCGTGCAAGCTTTGGCGGAGGAGTTGGCAGGACCCCTCCTCCCCCAAAGCCGACGGTGGGACGTCGGAGATTTCCATCGGTCTGAATTTGTAAACAGCAATAATAAATAAAATGTTAAGAAATTCATAAAATGATAAATGCAACTATACTCGTTATTGTATCGTCAAAGAAAGAATTGCAGTGATTTTGAAACAAATCTGCACAATACAGGCTAATCTAGTGATCCAAGCCAAGGAACTACTGAATATATCCAACAATTTAATCGAACATCAAGCATTGGTCCTGTAATATTAAAAAATTATATTTTTGCACATACCCGATGATTATGAGAAAGTGCAAGGTTCGTAAATATGTGGTTAATATACACAACATGACTATTCAACGCGGAGTTGCTGCCTGGCATTAATTGGCTCCCACAATATATCCCCAGCCAAAGCAACCTTTCCACGGCTATTATTTCCTGCACACTACTCTTGACAGAAACCTTCGTAAATAAACGCAGGCACTTTCAACACGTTCGTCTTCGAAAGTGAATGATTAAGTTTGCACTGTTTGCTCGTAAGCGATTTTTTTCGGAGACGATATCGGAATTAAAGACGTGGAACTTGGTTTCAACTTTTGCGATAAACTTAGAAAGCTTCCGTAAGAATCCACATGGGCTTTGAACTGCCCTCTAAGCAGACGATTGCTCCACCTGAACTTGAGAACAAGCCTGAATCTGGCTCCAAGAGGGAAGAAACTCAGAAAAAACAAACTCAAAGAAAGATGGTGCGAAACAATTTCAAAAACAAAAACGTTATAAATGCAAACTACACCAACCAAGAACGCAATACTTCTATGCCACCTTTAACTCTAAACTTCACAGAGTATCTCCTTTTACATAGGACACGAATGCTTAAGCAATTGAAATTTTATTTTCTTGAGGTCTTGAGAGGAAGGAGTTTCTTGTACCGGAGCACAGAACCTGCTTATTGATTTGGACTTGGCTGAAAATATACCAGCGGTAAATTCACGTAAATGCGCCATCAACTTGATTGTGAGGGAAGATGGTATTGAAGAAGTTACAATCAACTTGCAAACAGCACACCAAGTAGGTAGCATTCCTACAGGCCGCTTTCGGGTCTCAAAACTCGCTAAGCACTGACTGGATAGCAACTGAAATATCATGATCATCTACTCAGAGATTAAAGACCAAACACCGCTGAACCACAGTGCGCCTATCATTTTGACGGAACAACAACCAGTTTGTCTTTACGAAATTTCTCAGTTATACGCGGAAGTGGAAACTTCCAACAATATCTGTAACCGTATGGTTTGAACATATGGGTGTGCTATCATGAAGGTTACTTGGGGACTCCAGTACTGCCACAACTTTCTTTACAACACCATATAAGGAGCAAATTTTTGTACGGTTCTGTGTACAGTAAGAAATTCTTCGAGTACCTGGCTAAATTGTAGATGGAACGTACTGACCAGCGACTGGACAACTGGATCAATTCTCTCATTACATTCACAAATGGGTGATGCCTACCGCCTTCCTAACATTTTTAAGGGGTGAATATGCTCGCCAGCAACATCTGAAGCGATCGATTTCTTGTCACTTCCTCCATTGTTGCTGTGACAGGTCTTCCAAAGGAATAACCGAAGTAAATTTAGACATCAAAACTCAAGAGTTTATGCTTGAAATTGTACGACGATTCGCTTCATGAACTAAAGGTTACGACAGAAGGCGGGTACGGTGCAACCTGTTCGCAGTTGTCAAACCTACGTGAAACAAAATTATACTGTGATATAACTAAGTATCAAGGCAAAGATATCAACTTGCTGAGTACTATCATACCTGACAAATGGCAGTAAATTTCTGCAACAAACAAATTTAGACTAAGCTGAGGAATAGCACGACCTTCACTTTCAGCACTAAGCGAAGATAAATTGACAAATGTCACCATGAAGGCGAGAAATTTACCGCTTTCCCAAGAAGCGTTGCAGCCACGTTGAACCCTTTATCATGTTTTTGAAAGAAGGGTAACGATGCATGCATTGTGAACATCCTGCATCCAAACGGATATAAACTTTTTAAATATGGGAATACTAAAAAGGAACTAGCAAGACGATTGTGTTGTGGCCTTTAATTCTTTATTTTCACGAATTAAGGTAAATCGAGTAAAAGGAGCACCTGTAACAATAATATCCCACAAGTCTTCCTCTTCGGCAGATTCCTCTAACCTTTCTGCCTGCAAAAAAATATAGTTGAAATGTTCTTCAGTTCTAACATTTTGAACGATTACACAAGGAGTTGCCGTTACAGGAAAAGCTCTGGATGCACTGCAGTAGCTCCAGGACAATATTTACTAGATTCTAATCTAGTTTTTGGTCGAATTTTAATCCTATTTATGTAAAAAACCAGGTCGGATGCTCACCTTTTGGCATCGCTCCAGATTCATCAATATCAATGCAAAAACAGTATGCAGAACAGCAGGACCAAACCCGGGATACTGAGAGAGGGCATTTTCATTGGTCAAACCAAGAACCATAGTGCATAGACTTGCCGCCAATGCACACTCCATCACCTGCTTTCCTTGAACTGAACCAGAGCAGACACAACTTCAACTCAGAGGCTTGAAATATATCAAAACAATACGTTTATACCGATTTCACAGAATTAAATAAACATTGAAATTTTCATAGGTTATTTCTTTAAAGAAACACTGGTGAAGTTGTAATTGAAGGAATAGGCAATGCTCAAGCTTGATTATTTTGAACATATAATCAAAAAGAACCAGAGCGAAAGAAACAGCACGATTCGATCCAAATGGTGGATACAGTAAGGGAATGGAGCAAAAATAAGCAAACCTGCCCAGTTGGCAAGAGAAGGCACTGCAGGAATGAAGTCCGTAACCTTGATAGATCTACCCAAGCCATCCTTTCGTTGCAAAGCAACCCGAACAGAGACGCTTGCATCATAAATCGTGAAAATAAAGAAATAAGAGACAACTCAATTAGAGAATGTTATGCTAACCCTACAGTTAGAAGTTGTTTAAAGTAATTTCCAGCACATATCTCCAGGATGAAATTCTAAACTAGAAAGATAATTATAAAGAGAAATAAGCAGCAAAATTCCCAAAAACACAGCAACACGTTGAAATACCTTGATAAGCAGGTTCAAAAGTGTATCACAAGCATCAATTATTGCAGCACGACATTCGAAGCCTCTTGTTTCCGTTGCTATACGCACAAACTGAACAATCTGCAGGAGAGAAACTTCAATTATTGGAAACATGAATTTTAAATAAATTATAACGTGCATTGCACATTTCTCAAGAGTTTGCTACCAAAAATCATAGTATGGGAAATTCATTGACAGAAGGATAAAGCTGCCGAACTGAGGCCAAGCATAACCAATTAGCGAGCTTTTCCAAACTTGTCTCAGTAACTACACTAGGTAGAGGAACTGACTGCAAGTATGGAACTGACCTGCTGATGAGCTCCAGAAAGAACCAGAGCTTTGCAACCATCAAGCTCTGTAGTAATCTGTGACAAGGCAGGTAACATGAAGCTGACAGCTTCCAAAGATCTGCACTTAAAGTAAGCACCTTTTAGCTTCAGAAAACAAGAGCTGACACTTTTACATTCAATCACATTGGTACTAGGATACATTTAAACAATCAGTCCACAGAATAAGTACTTCAAACAGCTGGCATCGATAAGTGAGAAACTTGGTGGGAATGTACCCATTCTGCCCTTCTCTGGTAACAGAGAGCAGGAATTTAAGTAACTTGTATACCCGATTTTGGTGGGCAAGAGGAGTTTCCGCCAAATACCTGAAAGACCCTGGTTCAAATTTCTTACTATAAAGGTGATATATGCACTAATGGTGGAAATAGGAACCAAGCAGAAGCTTAATAATTCCAACAATCTACTATTCGATTTGTTTAATTAGATAATCATCTTGGACAACATACAAGTTTTAGGGACATAAGATGTGCATAAGGTTAATTGTTCTTCAGTTGCACTCGAACATACTCCAGGCTATAGAAGTTCATGAAAAGGAGGGTGCACAACAATAACCTTCCCAGCAACCGTACAGTGCCTGCAGCAAATTCCCACACGTGATATCATTTTCCTGAGCAAACCAAAAACAGACATGTAAGATGCCACTTCCATCTCATGAAACAGAAATGGAAGATTATATAAGATGATAAAGAGTAAGTATACCTGCTCTACTTGTTTCTCGAAAACATTTCGCTAAAAATTGGTAGCTAAGTGCGAAACCCTCATTTCACATCACTAATCACGACCCGAAACAAGAGAAAGGGATTCTGATTTCGTGATAAAAGTGAAACCACGGTTGTGAAGTACCAACCTGAGCATCCTCAAGAAACTCAACAATCAAACCTACAACTTCGGTTAACGCAGCAACAGCTTTTTCCATCGTAGACTCCATCAGCTTATCTGATGACACAATCAATGCATGCACACGAATATCAAAACATTCGAAAAAATGTTGTAAGAAAGGAGAGGGAATGACACAGTCCGAGAAACTGCAATGGCACGTTGCATTAAAAATTAGCACTTACTAGCCACATTCTTTATGAAACCAATGTGCAATATACCAAATCACACTACTACATACACTCAGCAATTCGGTGTACCTTGCTGTTCAACGACAACAATGATGATATGTTCCAAGAGAGCGAAATAAGTAGCCAGTCCCTGCTGGTTGCCAGCAGACTCAGCAACTTGAGCAGTTTCGCCTCCTCCAGAATCAAATGTTTTCCTTGCAACTTCATTCAAAAGTACTGCGGTTTCAATTCTCAGTCTCTACCACCAGCATAAAGAACCTGATTTTGAACACTGGTTTCTCTTAGCATAAATGTGGAACAAAGTAACACACTCCAAAGCTATTTCACAATCAGCATCCCACATAAAAGTTAAGAAAATGCAATTTATGAACCGAATCACCGAAGCAAATAATTAGACTCTATATATTTGACTCTGCAGATATGAAGGATTTCCACAAAATACAAATAACATTGTGGAAATGTTCAAGCAGATGATCTTGGAGAGCCTAGTACATACAAAATTTATTAATACATTCAAAAACTTAAGAAAAATAACCTCTAAATTCATCTCAACGAATCAGACTTGCGTGTAAACAGCAAGGAACTGAGGTCACCTGTCTGATGGAAAAGGCATTGGAACTTCTGGAACAACCAATGGCCCCAAAAGCAAAGGCTCTCCAACAATTTCTACCATGGCCTCTGTGATTTCTAAAGCCAATTGCCTCTTTTCTGCCACTGCTCCCACGATATAGAACCAAATATGAGAAGATATAAATTAGTTGAACTTCTGGCACTAACTGGAGAGAGAGCTGGGGCAGAACGACAAGCGAGTCCATACTTTAGATGTGTCCCATCTCGTCTTTCCTCGATTAGTGAAATATAATACAAAGCAGGGACTCGGTTCTCCTGCAACACAAGTGATCAAGCTTATAGTTATGATATGACACCTATCTGAAATTTTCGCAACAAGAGACAGACATTCATAATTACGTTAAAACCATAAAAAATGCTCGTTATTACAAATTAAGAACATCACTATAAGTACAATATGCCTCAGAAATCAGGTGCAGAAACCTCAATAGCAACAATGCAGCGGAGACCGTTTAAGCAAAGAAGATAGAAAAGAGCCTTAGCATACCAACGCGGTTGTTTAGAATAACACCAAGACCTGAACGTATATTGGCACGTCAGTCAGAACTTAGAGTGGTGTTCTGTATAGCAAGTCGAACATGAGCCTGCAACTCAATCAAAAGGACGTCTTGAGAATGAAATCGAAAAATATCAAACAAGGCCCTTATCACACATATAAATGCTGTGACAAAGACTAGTCTCCCTTTGTTGAATTTGCCTAGAGATAGTGCGTAGTTAGGCAGGAATCTTAAAATTACGACAGAGCAAGCAAAGAGAGTACCAAATATTCCGATGCAAGAAAACAGTGAAGCAGAGACATTGCTTCAAACTTGAAGACATCTTGCTGAACAGCTAACTGCCTTGCTACATTGGGAACCTGAAAACAAGCCACAAAAACCTTAGGCACAGAAAACAAGCAAGCATAACAGAACCACTGTCATAACTGAAGGATTGCCCTTCAAAATGCCGATATATCCATCTTTTCCATTTTCAGTACTAAAAGAGTAATGCACTCAAGCTATTATGGCCCTGATTGAACAGTTCTTATCCGGACTGAAAGAGTTCAAAAGGAAGTGATTCTTACCGTGGTTGCCAGTTCTTTTGAGCACTCCATGATCTCCTGCACAGCTCCCGTGGTAGTGAACATAAACAATAATAACCTGACAGCTACAGGTATCCAATTTGCATCTGTATGTACAAAACAATAGGGCCTGTCATGATATGTTCTAACCATGGCAGCATAAAAAGAAATTATTCTTGTGCACTAATGAAGTGTAGCACCCAACTAACATGGAGGGATAAAATGTTAAGGAATAAGCAGAACAGCTAGAGAGAATTAAGAATCCAAGTAACTAGATATCTCTGAAGCAGGACAATGCAGCAATCACAAGATAAAGATACAGTACTTGGTGGTGCCTCGCTCAAACGGCGTACCACTGTAGTCAAGACTTTTTTCCGCGATAGAGTTTCCAATCCCTTGTCTGATGCTGGGCCTGTGGCAAGCAAGCGCTCCAAAGAGTCTCCAGCGGCCACTTCATCCTCCCTGATCATAATAAACAAACTATCAACATGATAGGAATCACCATACTTCATCAGGTTGGGTTTCAATCAAGAAAATGGATCACTGAAAGGATTGTCAAAGCTGTTAAGAATTTTTCAAAAAAGACAGGATGAGGAAACTAGCCGATGAATGAAAAACCGAGAATCTCAGAAATCCCAAAAATTATTTATTAAGGCACTTGCAAACGCCGCCCTGAACAAGAATTGCAGATTTGACATTTACAAACGGTGTATAAACAGTGTAGAGTAACCTTAAGGATAAGAAAAAAATCATTGAAAATATATTGTTGATCACAAAACAGCCTTGGCTCCTTAACAGCCTAATTACGGATGAAAGACATATAGCACTTCAGGACAACTCAAAATTCTCACCTACTTCCCAAATATCTTTAATTGAAGCGGAATAAAAAAATAAAAAATAAAAAATAAAACTTTAACTGGAGAAAACACCGTAAAGGAAAAAGCGGAAGAAAAAGATTGAGAGGAGAAAAAGAAGGAGGCAAATTATACCTGCTTGCTAAAGTTTCAAGGAACTTTACTGATGGTTTCATCCATCGCTGCAAGCTCCGGAAAACGACAAAAAGCGGAGATAATAGAGAGAGCCAAATGCAAATAACCCTGTTGCTGCTCTTTGTTACTGTATCCAATGGCTTCGCCTCCGCTGTGTCCTCTGGCTTGCCCTGTCCCTGCCACATAGAAACATTGGATATTTGCTTCATCGAGCATCAAATGAAGCTGATCAGAACCTGCCAGCAACATCGCAAACTCGTCTGCAGCAGCCACCAGAGAAAGAAACACTGACCGGATGTAAATGCTTACGTTTAGAGCTATTATTCTTTCGCACATCTGTACCGTCGCGCTGATGACATAATCAATAAGCCCGAATCCTATCGTACATGCATGTGAACGAAGCTCTATTGATACTTGTATAGCCGCTTCATTCCCGGTAAAGTCTTGCGTAACACACTGGGGAAGTAGCCAAAACATCATCGGTGACAATTATCCATAAATAGAAACTCATATAATTCTAGACATCCACTGTTATTAAGATTGATTGCTTACAAGAATGGACCTCATAGTAGTGGTAGAATTTCTCGGTGGTTATCTCAAAATTCAGTTAAAGATTTTTTTGTAGAAGAATGCAGATGGGCGATGAAGGGTGCGTAATTCATAAAATCAGTAGTAGTAATTTGCTGAATCAACTTGAAAAAAACACACAACAGGGACTGCGGCAAGGTTATGCGTAATTGTAACATCAATGCCAAAATCCTACAAGTAAAATTTAAAGATCCTCCACCAATTGTGCAATTCACTGGAAGAATTATAAAGAGAAAACCACGCAAGAGAAACCGAAAATTCGAAGCGAAAGCAAGGCAACCCTCGAAGAAAAGCTACGTTCAGAACTGTACTGATAATTTTATGCAACATGAACCTCTGGAACATCAAAAGCCACGTAAAACTTGAGCTCATATTAATGTATGCGACAGAGACAGCAGATGGGACAATGCAGGTCAAAAGAAAGCAGCAATTACTAAAATTCATATAACAAACCCTAATGTCACGCACAAACTACGTAATCTAGATGTAATTAGACTACATACTAATAGGAATCGGGCACAAGGAGTATTTGTATCGTATTTCTGTGCGTATACTTGCAGTATCGGATGTCCGAAGAATACAAGTTCCCGGTTACATTGTGCTTCTCAAGCTTACGACTAAGTTTGCGGAGGTGTTTTTAAATGTAAAAAATGCCAAATATCTGCCATACCTCTCTAGTGCACATTCTAGATCGGACGTTTATGTCAAGTAACGTGACTTACTGTTTGTTTCACTGACTTGGTGAGCATTTTCAGCTCTCTAGTTATGTTCTTGAAGGAATTGACATGTTCTTTTTTTGGAGTCTCATGTTTTTAGAAAAATGCATGAATTGATTTGGAATTTTGTACCAAAAGAAAGTCCAGATGTAATAATTAATGGAATGAAAGAATAAATAATAAATAAAATTGATAACATATGGCTGTATGAGATTCAAAGATGACAATATTTGATTGATGAGAGCATTCATTCTACTTCTTTTTATGTAGATATTTTTAGAAGCTTGCTTAATTGGATTAGAGAACAACAAAGCATATTATAAATCTTATGTTGATAATAGCAAGGATTTTAGGCAGTTGAGATGAAATGTGATTAGTTGGCATTTGTGGTTGTTATTTTTATTTTTTCTTCTCAAAGAATGCTACCTTAAACTTCATTTCTTCATCTCATTTCTAAAATATTTCATAATCAAGTTGGATTTTAGTATTTTACAAAGGATTGTTTGATTGATGGAATTGTAATCATGTTTATATTAAGGACATGAATCTCAAAGAAAGAAAACACAACACACTCTTGTGTTACTTGAAAAGATAAGAAAGTCACTCAAAGATGGTAATATATTGAATTAAAATGGCTATTGCCAAAGACAAGAAGACTAGAAAGTCTTGAAACAAGATTAAAGACTAAAAAGACATTGATAAGAGTGAAGAAGGCTTCACTCTTGTCTCCATATATATTATCTAACTAGGAGCTATATAATTGTGATGTAATATAGCTAATGGGTAAAAGAGTAAAGAAAATATTATATTATAAAAAATATTATTTGAAAATATTGTAGCAAATTATCTTATAAATATAAATAATAATCAAAAAGTAGTAAAACTAAAAATAAAAATGTTGCCTTTTTAAAAAATTAATCTTCTATTTATTTTGTAGAAACATAAATAAGACAAAATAAGATAGATTAAAAAAATAAAGGATATAAATACATATACAAAGAAGTTAGGAGATGATTTTAATAAAAATTATTTTAAAAAAACAAGAATTGATATCTAAAAAGGACCAACTACCATAATACAAACATGATCACAATTCTATCAATTAAGATCGAAATCAACTCCCAAGGCACAAAACCATGCACCTACGGTGATTCTAAGGTTCTTTTGTAAATCAAAGATTGATATTTAAAAAAAAAAAAAAATTATAAGATTTCTTTGAGTATTGGTTTTGTGCAATTTGAGTTTGTAATGACTTTATAAGCACTTTTTAAAATTAGAGTTGTTTTTGGTGAATCTAATTTTGTAAAATATAAAAAAGAATTATATTTGAAAGAATTTTATAAATTTGGTAGTAGATCTACAAGTCAAAATTTTTGGATTTGTGATTATAGTTGTTTTTATTACATAGTATAAATTTGAACATAATCGAATGGTTAGATTGAAGGTTATTGAAGTTCAAGTGGGTTGAAGTCTCAAAAATGGGATTTTGAAGGTGAGTAAAGATTTTTAAGATCTTTAGCAATTTGCTTATTGGATTGAGGTGAAATTTATCTATGTGAGTAATAGACTTAATTTCCAACATATATGTAAATTTTGAGATACATTTAATAAAAAAATTAAGAGATTTTAGATCAAGGAGATTGACATCAAGATTGGAGAAGGGAGTCGGCCAATATTTAAGCAGATTTTAGAGTTTATCTTCTATTTGGTAAGTTTAATCTTTTTAAAAATATTTTATACTTAATACCAACGTAATTATTGAGAGGTGTGCAAAATTTGAGTTAAAATTAATGATTTGATTATTAATTATGGAAGATTCAATCTATCATAGGATTTATTAAGAATTTATTTAAATTTAGGATTTTTTTAGGATTTGATTAGAGTTTATTTAAGAATTTATTAGGATTTGTTTAGGACTTGATTAGAATTTACTTAAAATTTGATTAAAATTTATTTAAGATTCAATTAAGATTTGTTTTGGATTTGATTAGGATTTGTCTAGGATTTATTTAGGATTTGTCTAGAATTTGTGTAAGATTTGATTATGATTTATGTAGGCTTTGATTAAAATTCAATTAATATTTATTTAGGATTTCTTTGTATTTTTTTATAATATATTTAAAAATTTAATTGGACTTGATCAATGTTTGATATATTTGTGAAGCTTTAATTACAATTTATATAGGATTCTATTATAGTTTTTAGGACTTGTTGTTGCAATTTTTTTTTTTACCATCTACAACTATGTATCCAATACATTTTTAAACAAGACTTCACATAATACGACAATGTTATCATAGCAGAATGAATGTGCCTCAAGAAAGCATTGGGCCTTTGGATGCCACTAATTGCTCAAACAAATTGCAAATTTATAAAATACAAATATTACATATAGATTGTCTTTGAAGAAGAAATTATATAAAATATACAGATCTAAGATGTAGAAGAGTGCCTAAGATATGACTAAATATCCTAAAATCACTTCTATTCCTATAAAGATATCTTTTATATATGTATCATTTAATAACTTTCAATCTAACCATCCAGTTGGATTCAAATTTTTTCAAAAGTTAATTTATATTTTTGGTTATCTTTATACAAAAAATAAACCATGAATTCATTAAAAGACTTTGAATTACACCTAATTACTAGTAGATACTAAACATGTCAATTTCTATATATTTGTGCACTAAATCCATCATATTTCAAAACCCAATATTCAAATATCATAAATTTTTTATATGTAAATTTTTAACATAATCATCTATACTTATAGAAATTTTGAGCTAAATTTTTTTTGAGAAACTCAAGATATGGTCCAAACCAAAACCTCGATTAAAAACAATTTACTTACAAATCTCAATTTTTAACATTACTTCTAATAGCTTTCTTTCTTTTATTCTAAATTATAATATATCTATTTCTTCACATAAAATGAAACTCTTAAATTCAACTTTTTAACCTCACTTTTTGATTCTTCAATGCTTTCTTACAACTCTTTATATAATTAAAAGAATAATAATAGATACCAAATTTATACCCTAAATTTCAAACAACCATATTTTCTTTGTTATAATTCTAAATTACATATTTTTTCTACCTAAATTCTGGTTCAAAACACAAGCTTTTCAAATCCAACCTCCAAAATTTGAATATGTCACTTTGTCTCAAATTGATTGCCTTAAAGTGTCTCTGAATTCCAGTATGGTCCCGGACAACCTTTTGAAGCCCATTCAGCATGACTTTCAACTAATGGAAATGAAGTCCTCTATTACTTATCTTATCTATCTACATGGTATGGTTTAGGAGCCAAAATATTATATTTTTGATACCAAAGCTCTTCTAAATTTCTTACTAATAAATCCTATAAATTCTAACTTTATATACTAAATTTAAACTATAAACTTAAATAAATTAAAAAGAATTTTATTTTATTTTATTTTATTTTTAATTATAATTTAAAAATTTATATCATTTTATATTATTTTTACATATATACTACTTTTTGATATAACATCTACCCGCTCCAAACTTGCACATCATCCAACATGTACTAATTTAACCATCTCTATTTTTGTTATCATCTCCATCTCTTTGTACATCTTCCATTTGATCTAGATTTAATGCTTCAAAATTTGAAAGATTACTTAAAATAAATCTATTACTTCTTTTTTTAAATGACTTCATCTACTTCATAGTAATAAGTATGTTCAACATTATACTATTCAATTCACAAAGCAAATAGGTAGTATTGTCATTCACTATAACCACTATATATGGTCCAAACCATCTTCAAAAAAACTTTTTAAGAGTTTTATGTTGATGCTTCAAACTAATATCAATTATTAATATCTAATTTCTAACTTCAATTGATTTAGATTTTAAATGATAGATTTTGTCAAACCTCTTTTTATTGCTCAATCTAGAAGCTTTTAGTTTTTTCAATGTAATCTCTTAATCTTTAAGTAATCTTTTAAGCTATTGAATTTAGAATTTGATTAATATTTTTTTCATAATGCCATCCTTTCAATTCAACAATATCCAAGTAGGCACAAAATCTTCTATAAGAATAATTAACTTTTAACTTAATATCAGCTTAATAGGCATATCATTAGTAACACTGCTATAAGTGATTCTATTGATCCATAAAGTACATGGTAGAAGTCTTGGCTATTGCCTTGGCTTATTTCTATAAGCCTTGATAAGAGCATTAATGATGAAAGGATGTCCTCTCTCACTCTTACTATTAGCCTCAAGATTAAAAGTAGTTGTTAGCTTCAACTTCACTTCATATCTTTTAAAAAAATCTTTCACTTCTATTATATCTAATTCTCCTTGATTACCCTTCATCCTTCTAATATTACTATATTTACTAAAGATATCTTCTAAGATGAATTTTTAGATTCTTTCTATAGTCTTGATCCTCAAAGCTTTTTCTTCAATATGATTTGAGAGTTTTTTTTACTAAAAAAAGATCTTTCATATCTTATAATCTAAATGGCATAACCACCAAGTCAATCATTCAGTAAAAATGTATAGTAAGTAGATAGATAGGATGCATTTCATCTCTAAATCTAACTTTGGACTATAATTGGCATTCAGTACAAGAAGCCTTAAATACCTCCACACCTTTGTAGAGGCTCTTTGACTAATATCACTCTTTGATCTTATAATAGGTGGTTTAAACTCCTGTGTGGCCTATCTAAAGCATATTATGAAAATCTTTGAGAACTTGGTTCTTAATTTTTGCATCATCCACCATTTTTAATGGTACTCTATTCTTCTTCTTTTGCATCTTCTAG